GGAGCGGTGGCGAGTGTAGCGACGCTCAGGCTGAGGTGGGGCGAAAGGCTGGCCTGTTGGCTGCCGCAGTGAAAGTCACTTTCAACAAATGCTATGCATGCGTGAATTGAGGGGACGCGTGCCTATATAGCGACGCTGAGGCATTGAAGGATTCTTGGGGTAGCAGCAACTGTGGCGGCAAATGCAAGGGCCGACCGTTAGTACGTTATCATTGCAGCCCTTTCTGTCTGGGCTGCATTGTCGCTGGTCACGATTTCGGTTGCTGCTTCTGGTTCGTATGGGACGTTGGTGTGAGGCTCGCTGGGGTCGGTGGTTGCCCTTCGCATTCTCCTTGCACTTGAGCTTCTCGTCGCTGGTGCCGGGTGTTTGCGTCTTGATGATAATGAGGATTCCCTCCCAGGCGTGCCGATGAACCTCCTCTCTGGTGTGTTGGCTTTTGGTGTGAGCCCCTCCGCGGTCGTGATGCCATCGTCTCTTTTGGCTCTTGGGGATAGCGTGTCTATGTCGATCAAGATGACCTCGTTGGTAGGAGCCCTGGCGGTATAGATCCTGGTGTCCAGGCATTAGGTGTAGGGTAATCGCGCTCGGCACTGCCAGGTTGTCCCGCCGATGATGCACCTGCTGTTCTAGGAGTTCTGGTCGGAGTAGAAGGGTGGAATTGATATTGCTCATCTTAAGCTTGTTGTGATACCAGTACCCCGAACACGTCTGAGTCCCTTGCGGCCTGGTCGCTTGGTGACTTGGTTGACTGGGTCCCCTCCACTTCAGATCTTTGTGAGGACAGAGGGGCGACAAGTGGCATTGAGGGATGTGGCTCCTCGTCGTCGGTAGGTCTGTATAGAGAGGGCCTTCTCAATCGCGTCGACCATGTCCGCGTTGCTCAAGCGCTCCTTTGATAGTCCAGCAGCATTCTGCGCGTAGTTGTACTCCTCCGTTGCCTTCTCTTTGCGTCTCTCGTGCATCTCCTTCCAGTGCTTCCAGTCCGACTCATTCTGCTGGTGGATTAGTATCTCGTGTTGGTATGCCTCATGTTGCTCCGCCGTGCCCATCTCCACGCGAAGGAGCACGAGTTCTAGTTACCCTTCAGCTCGTAGTGCGTTGTGGAGTGCTTGCTGCTCATGTGCCTTCATGTCGGTCAGTATGCGCTGGAGGTACAGCTCTTGATGTTGGTCCTGTCCCGCATCCCTTCTTCTGACGAGGCGCTCGATGTCTGTGACTCTGTGTTAGTACTCCTCACGGACGCTGCATATCATCGTTGCATGTGTATGTCCTGGTCACGTAGCTCGTTCCGGGCGGGTAATTCGGCGCCTGTCCTCTGCACCTCCTCATTTGTGGTAGAGGATGATGTGGTCGTTGTATTCCTTGATCCACGTCTTTGCAGCTTGTGCTTCGATGCTGGCGATGTGCTGCTCGGCCTCGTTGGTCATCTTGAAGTATGGTTGCCTCTCTTCGGCCAGCCTTTTGGCCTCTCGTAGTTGCTGCTGTATGGTGGCTCGGTCGTTGTCGGTGTCGATGAGCTTTTCCTGCGCGGTCCTGAGCGCGCTCTGTAGTCTGTCTATCTCAGCGTGGTCGCGGTGTTCGGATGTATCCTTTGCGGTAACCTTCATTGCCTCCAGCTCCTCCTCCATCCTGTTGAGGGCTGCAACGTTCGTTGTTTGTATGACATCGTGATGTGCGGTCAGCTTCTCGTTCGTCCCCTTCGTGGTGCCGATCTCGTTCTTCAGCTCGTTCTGGTTGTGACGGGCTTGTGCTGCTTCCTTGTGTTGTCTTTTAGCCTGCTCATGTGTGTTCTCTGTCGGTAGTAGGTGCTTCTGAAGGGCGTGGATATCGATGTTGGCGTCGTTCTCATGTCGTGTGCCATTCGTTGGTTGTCTTCTCAAGGTTTTGAGTAGCATGCCGACGTCTTGGCCCTCAGCCGTTTCCCCCGCCCTTGTTTGTTTTCCCTTCTCTGTTGTGTCCCTCTGTGGTTTTTCGGCTTCGTCATCGGCAGCACCTGCATCGCTGTAGATGTCATCAATGGAATTTCTGATCTCGTACTGCAATGTGTTGAGCTCGTCGATCTTGCTCTCCAGCTCGTTCATGTATTTCTCTATCTGACCCGGGTGCGCCTTGGTGTGCTCGTAGTAGTCTTCCATGGTCCGCCTGGCGTCGTCTATTTCCCTGGCCTGTTGGGCTATGGGCATGCTGTTGAGGATCATTGTTTCGGTGAAGGCGATCTGGGTGACTGCATCTGCAGTATGGAGTCCTGCAGCACTGTTCTTTGTGATGGGTGCGGGTGATCGCCTCTGCTCGATGAGCTTCAGTCGTCTGTGAGCTTGGGGTCGTTGGGTGGTGATTCCCAGTCCGGCCTTCGGACCGCGTAGACTTTCCGCATCGGCATGACGTTATTGATCGTGTTGGCGATGTGGTCGTTATGTTCTTGGGTGGTGTCCTTCTTTTTGGGTGTGTTATCTTATTCGTGCTGTGCCTTGACCTTCCACTTGCCCTTGTTGTTCTCGTTCTTGCCCTCACGATTGCGGTTATCAGGCTCGTTGTCGTCGTCGTCGTCGTAGGGTTTAGGAAGGCTTTCTTTGCCCTTGCCGTTGTTGTCCTTGCCGTCGTAGCCGTTGCCCCAGTAGGGGTCGGGGTGGTCATTGGCCCACTGCTCCGCCCACTTGTTGTTCTTCCAGCGCTCGACGCCTGCTCCAGTCGCCTGTGGAGTAGGGCTTGGAGTGCGGCTCGAGGTTGACCTCCAGGTTGGTGGCGTATTTCCGGAGCCACTCGCGGATGGTCCCCATGGTTTCCATTGTGGGAGCTTGAGGTGAGTGTCGCGGTGGTTGTTGTGCGCTGTCATGCGCTTGAAGTCGCTCTTGTGCAGCTTGGAGATGGTGCTGCGTATGTTGATCGAGTAGCGATCGTGCACATGCGACACGCACAGTAGTACTCTTGCAGCAGTTCGCCGTTCCCGCTTGCGCCGATGCCAAGCTGGGCTGGTCGACGAAGTCATGGTGTCCTAAGAAAGGAAACCAGATGTAGTCGAAACGGAGTGTAAGAGTATGGGTCAGACAGGATGTAAGAGGCGTATGGGAAAATGTTGAAGGAAACCATATGGTGTCGAAACGGAGTGCTAGAGTATAGGTCAGACAGGAGGCGAGAGGTGTGTGTGGGAAAATGTTGAGAAGATTCAGTCGAGGCTAGCCCCCTTAGGCCGGCACGCTGCCATGGGTTTCTGGGCAATATGTGGCGCTCGTCCTCCTCCTCCTCCTTCTCCTCGTTCCTCCTCGTTCCACCTCCTCATGCCTATCTCCTCGTTCCAGCTCCTCCTCGTTCCACCTCCTCATGATCTCCCCCCTCCTACTCGTTTCATCTGCCCCCCCCCTCCTCCTCCTCCTCCTCCTCCTCCTCCTCCTCCTCCTCCTCCTCATCATCATCATCATCAGCAGCAGCAGCAGCAGCAGCCTCAGCCTCAGCCTCAGCCTCATCCTCATCCTCATCCTCATCCTCATCCTCATCCTCATCCTCATCCTCATCCTCATCCTCATCCTCATCCTCATCCTCATCCTCATCCTCATCCTCATCCTCATCCTCATCCTCATCCTCATCCTCCTTTTCTCCCTCGGGTCGGGTTTCCTTGGCGAGAGAACTCCAGGGCGGGAACGCCAGTTGGATAGGATGTGTCGCACGGTCTCCGAGATCTCCGTCCTGCGAGGCAACATCTCCGTGTGCAGCGTGTGTCTGCGCTGTCTGCGGACGGGATTTTCTTTTAGCTCCGACATCTCAGAGGAGGACGAAGGCACCCATACCTCTACCCCTCCCCCGTCGTCTGGGCCTCCTCGGAGGCCCTCGTCGCCACCGCTGGATTCGCCTCGAAATTCTGGGCAGAACGCACCCCGGGAGAGGTCTGGGGAGTGGTGGTATCGGCACCTCTTGGTTTTCCCCAGGCCAGGGTCCGACCAGCTTCCTGAGCTGTTTCAGCCCGCTGCCCCTGGTCCGCCACAGAGTGGCCCCGACCCTGCCTTCCGACGAAGGCATCTATACACCACCACCGTGCCAGGCCAGGGCCAACTTGGGCCCCAGGATGGTGTATAGACCCTCTTGGCCTCGGCCAGGAGGGCGTATACACCATCCCGGGGCCCAGGATGGTCCTGCCTTGGCACGGTGGTGGTGTATAGATGCCTTCTGCGAATGCCTGTGAGGACCCCGCCGATGCTCACCCCGCGGCTCCTCTCCTCGAGGGCTCGAGGGCCCTGCGAGGACGGGGACGAGACCGGACCTCCAGTCAGGTCCAGAGGGAGGAGGAGGAGGAGGAGGAGGAGGAGGAGGAGGAGGAGGAGGAGGAGGAGGAGGAGGAGGAGGAGGAGGAGAGGAGGAGGAGGAGGATGAGGAGGGAGGAGGAGGAGGAGGAGGAGGTGAGGAGGGGAGGGGGGGCGGAGGAGGGAGGAAGGAGGCAGGGAGGAGAGGAGGGAGGAGGAGGGGAGGAGGAGGAGGGAGGAGGAGGAGGAGGAGGAGGAGGACGGGAGGAGGGGGGGGAGGAGGAGGAGTAGGAGACGGAGATGAGGAGGAGGAGGAGGAGGAGTGAGAGTCGGAGGAAGGCGGCATGGGGGGTGGGGAGGAGGAAGTGGTGGAGGAGGTTGATGGATGGTTGATAGAGGAGGAGGAGCAACAAGCAGGAGAGAGAGGAGGGAGAGGAGGGAAGGGATGAAGGGGATTGAGGGACATGGGAAGGGGATTTGAGAGTGATGGGTGAGGGGGTGGAAGGGTGGAGGATGAAAAGGGCGGATGAGGAGGATGAGGGGGGGTAGAAAGAGGGAATGGGACTGCTCAGGAAGGGGTGTTTGGTGAGGTGGTGCGAAGGAGTAGAGAAAGATGAGGGAAAGCGGGGGGGGGGAAGGGAGGAGAGAGGGGAGTTAGAGCTGGGGGTGGGGAGGAATAGGAGTCGGTGGATGGAGGGGAAAGTGGGGAGGGCGGGAGGGTGGAGGGATGGCGGTAGGGTGGGGGGGGGGGGGGGGTGGGGGGGGGATGTGGGTTGGGGTTTGGGGAGGGGGTGGGGGGTGGATGGTGGGAAGGAGGAGGAGGAGGATCCTCTCCTCGCTGGTCCCGCGATAGGGGAAGGGGGCCTTGTTGTGAAGCGGTCGGTACCTCGCGGCCAGGTTCCGGCGCCGTTTGGGACCTCCTCCTCCTCTCCCCCTCCCCCTCCTCCTCCTCCTTCCTCCTCCCTTCCTCCTCCTCCTCCTCCTCCTCCTCCTCCTCCTCCTCCTCCTCCTCCTCCTCCTCCTCGACCCCTCGCCCCCCTCCTTTTTCTCCCCCTCCCCCTCCTCCCTCCTCCGCCTTCCTCCTCCTCCTCCTCCTCCTCCTCCTCCTCCCCGTCCTCCTCCTCCGTGGCGGGCGGGCCTGCGAGCGGGCGCGCCGCGGCTCGGGCGGCCGCCCTGCTTCCCAGAGGGGCGGGCCCGGCGGGTCCTGCTCGAGGTGGTGGCTGCTCTCCTGCCGAGCACCGTGCCGCTCCCGTCGTACGCTTTTCGTTGGGGAGGGTCGGGGGCGGAAAAGAGGGGGGTGATGACTAGGGGGGGGTGGATATCATGGCGGGGGCCATGATATTTCCCCAGATTTCATGGCGCCTCTTCTTGTTTCATTACGTCCCTGGCCCCCCCGTTGGGCCGCGCACATGCCGCCGGTCATGATTTGCACCCCCCCCTCTTGGACACCGCCCTCTTGGCCGCTCCCGAGAGGGGCTCCGTGCTCCTTAATTGTTTCGCAGCTTGCCTTAGGTTGTCCTTCGGATTTCGATGGGGAATCGAAGTTTCACGGATGGAAAAAAGGGGCCTCGTTCCTCATTTAGGGTTCCTTAGGTCAACGCCCCGACTGTAGGGGCTACAGCCCAGAGACAGCTCAGCCTCGAGCACCCAGGAGGGTATATCAGAGCGGTGCCCACTCGACGCGCCGGCGAGGTGTCGAACGAGTACCGCCTCCCGGGGCCCACGTGAGAGGCTTCCATTCTCGGTGTTTCTCTGGTGCTCGAAGTCCCTTCTAGTGATCAAGGCGAACGCGAGGGGTGGGGAGCAAAGCGCGCGGGGGGGACGACGACGACGACGACGAAAAAGACGACGACGAAAAAGACGACGAAAAAGACGACGAAAGAGACGACGACGACGAAAAAGACGACGACGACGTATGTCGGAACATCGTAAGCCGAGCAGGTCGTCATTACCTTTCGCCGTCCTGCGCGCCCCCCCACCCTGCGCTCATCCCTCCCTTCTGCCCTCCCCTCTGCCCGCGGAGTAGGGCGATGCATCGAGACAAACAAAAACGCCACAAACATAAGCACAACAAAGAGTACGAACACACACACACCAAAGATGAAGAATAACACCACTAAGAAACATCATAAGGAATAATCATCAAACAAGAAAAACAACAAACATAGAAAACATAACGCGATGCATCAAAGAAGAAGAAAACAAACAAAGAAAATAAACGCCACACACATAAACTTTCCGCGCTCCGCGCGGATTTCTTTGATCTGCCAGGGGCGGCGCCGGAGGCGCCGCCGGGGGGGTCCAGAGCAGATCCAAGAAATCCGCGCGGAGCGCGGAAAGTTTATGTACGTGACGTTTTTTTGTTTTTTTCCTTTAAGTGCAGACGCCGCGCTGCCCGCCCCCCCCGCACCCCCGGAGGCGAACCTTCCCACTGACAGCGACCTGCCCACGTTCCCCATCGCCCCGCCCGACGAGTGCGGCTACGGGTTCTACTTCGAGGACGGGACCAGCGTGTGCCAGGAGTTCGGGAGTCGCCATTTCTCGGCTGCGCGCTGTGGATGAAAATGAGGAGGGGGGGGGGGCAGGCCTTCTCAGAAGTGTCTGGTTGACCCCAAAAGGGGGTCCAGTTACACGGGGGTTGTGCAATAGATCGGGTGCAATGGATTTGTGGGCTGCAACAGATCTGGGGCGTGCAATACACTGGGGCGCAAATGCATTGCTCGATTTTTGCGTGCAATGCGTTAGTTGCAATACAGTGCAAGACAACTCCCCAGCGCAATACCTGTGCAACACAACTGACCCGAATCTGTTGCACCACCCCCTTTTCAGCTGGACCTCCCTTTGGGGTCCACCGAAAGGAAGGTGGCGTGGCGTCTCGGCTGCGACCCGGCCTTGGAGCAGCCGTCACGGCTTCTGCCCGCGGAGAAGCTGGAGCCTCCTGAGAAGGCCCGCTCCTGATGATGATGCGCATGCTGATGATGATGATGCTGATGATGAGGACGCTGATGATGCTGAGGATGCTGCTGCTGATAATGATGCTGCTGATGATGCTGATGATGCTGAGGATGCTGATGATGCTGCTGCTGATGATGGTGATGCTGATGCTGATGATGCTGATGATGCTGATGGTGCTGCTGCTGATTATGATGCCGCTGATGATGCTGATGATGCTGAGGACGCTTATGATGCTGCTGCTGATGATGATGCTGCTCATGATAATGCAGATGATGCTGATGATTCTGCTGCTGATGATGACGATGATGACGATGATGATGCTGATGATGCTGATGATGCTGCTTCTGCTGATGATGATGATGATGCTGAGGATGCTGATGATGCTGATGATGCTGATGATGCTGATGATGCTGCTGCTGATGATGATGATGCTTCTCATGATGCTGACGATGCTGATGATGATGCTGATGATGCTGAGGATGCTGATGGTGATGGTACTGATGATGCTGCTGCTGATGATGATGATGCTGATGCTGCTGATGATAATGCTGCTGCTGATGATAATGATTCTGATGATGCTGATGATGCTGATGCTGATGATGCTGACAATTATGCTGCTGATCATGCTGATGCTGATGATGCTGAGAATGCTGATGATGCTGATGATGCTGATGATGCTGCTGATGATACGGATGATGCTGATGATGCTGCTGCTGATGATGATGATGTTGTTGCTGATCATGCTGATGATACTGAGAATGCTGATGATGCCGCTGATGATGATGATGATGATGATGATGATGATGATGATGATGATGAGGATGCTGATGATGCTGATGATGCTGATGATGCTGATGGTGCTGATGGTGCTGCTGCTGATGATGCTGCTGAAGATGCTGATGGTGCTGAGGATGCTGCTGACGATGCTGATGATGCTGCTGATGATAATGCAGATTATGCTGATGATGCTGCTGCTGATGATGATGCTGCTGATGATTACGATGATGACGATGAGGATGATGCTGATGATGCTGCTGATGCTGCTTCTGCTGATGCTGATTGCTGAGGTTGCTGAGGGTGCTGAGGATGCTGATGATGCTGATGATGCTGCTGATGATGCTGCTGATGATGCTGATGATGATACTGAGGATGCTGATGGTGATGGTGCTTATGATGCTGCTGATGATGCTGTTGGTGATGATGCTGATGATGCTGATGCTGCTGATCATGCTGAGGATGCTGATGATGATGATGCTGACGATGCTGCTGGTGATGATGATGCTGCTGATGATGCTGATGCTGCTGATGATGCTGATGATGCTCATGATGATAATGCTGATGATGATACATATCGATGATGATGATGATGATGATGATGATGATGATGATGATGATGGTGATGACGATGCTGATGCTGATGATGATGATGATGCTGATGATGCTGAGGATGCGGATGATACTGATGATGCTGATGCTGATGATGCTGAGGATTCTGATGATGCGGATGATGCTGATGATGATGCTGCTCATGATGTTGATGATGCTGAGGATGCTGATGCTGCTTCTGTTGCGGATGATGCTGATGAGGCTGAGGATGCTGCCGATGCTGCTGCTTAAATTGCTGCTGCTGATGATGCTGGTGATGCTGATGATGATGCTGCTGCTGATGATGCTGATGATGCTGATGCTGTTGCTGCTGATGCTGATACTGATGATGCTGCTGATGATGCTGATGATGCTGAGGATGCTGATGATGCTGAGGAGGATGATGATGATGAGGATTCTGCTGATGATAATGCAGATGATGCTGATGAGACTGCTGCTGATGATGCTAATGCTGCTGATGATGCGGATGCTGATGATGACGATGATGGCACACATGGTGATGATGCTGATGATGCTGATGATGCTGTTGATAATACTGATGATGATGATACAGATGATGCGGGTGCTGATGATGATGATGACGATGATGATGCTGATGATGATGATGATGATGCTGATGCTGCTGCTGCTTCTGATGATGATGATGCTGATGATGATGATGATGATGATGATGATTATCATGTCGCTGCTGCTGCTGATGATGATGATGCTGCTGATGCTGCTGCTGATGATGATGCTGCTGATTCTGATGATGCTGATGTTGAGACCGAGGAGGATGAGGACAATGGTGACGATGATGATGATGCTGCTGCTGATGACGATGATGATGATGATGAAGAAGAGAATGAGGATGGGGATGATGATGACGATGATGATGCTGATGCCGCCGCTGATGATGCTGATGATGATGATGCTGCTGATGATGATGCTGCTGCTGATGATGCTGATGCTGATGATGATGATGATGACGCTGATGATGACGCTGATGATGATGCGGATTCTGATAATGATGATGATGATGATGATGATGATGATGATGATGATGATGATGATGATGATGATGATGTGCGATGCTGCTGGCTGATGATGATTGAGGATGATGTGATGATGAGTGATGGTTGATATGATGTGATGATGATGGTGATGCTGATGATGATGATGATTATGATGCTGATGATGATGGTATGATGATGATGCTGATGCTGATGCTGATATGATGATGATGATGATGATGATGATGATGATGATGATGATGATGAGCTGATTGATGATGATGATGCTGATGCTGATGCTGATGCTGTGATGCTGATGCCGATGATGCTGATGCGATGCTGATGCTGTGCTGATGATGAATGATGATGATGATGTGATGATGAGATGATGATGCCGATGACGATGATGATATGATGATGATGATGATGATGATGATGATGATGATGATGATGATGATGATGATGATGATGAGCTTGAATGAGAGGAGAGGACAGGAGAGGAGGAGGAGGAGGAGGAGGAGGAGGGAGGAGAGGAGGAGGAGGACGGGAGGACGATAGTGACGAGGAGGAGGAGGAGAATGAGGAGGAGGAGGAGGAGGAAGAGAGGAAGGAGGAGGAGGATGAGAGGAGGAGGAGGAGGAGGGGGAGGAGGAGGCGGAGGAGGAGAAGGGTGGGGAGGCGCGTATGAGACCGAGGAGGAGGAGGAGGAGGAGGAGGAGGAGGACAAGGAGGAGGATGAGGTAAGCCGTTGAAGGCGCCCAGGGGACCAGTCTTTCATCCCAGCCACGACCAGGGGCGGATAACGAGGTGGAGGAGAATGAAGATGAGGAGGAGGATGAGGAGGAAGATAACGAGACGGCGGGCAGGGAGACGATGACGACGAGGAGGCAGAGAACGAGACTAACGAAGGCGCGGCTAGGAGACGGGAGAAGAATGAGGAAGAGGACTAGGACACCGACGAGGAAGAGTAGGATAATACGGAGGAGGATGCGGAGGAGGAGGAGGAGGAGGACGCGGAGGAGGAGGAGGAGGCGGAGGAGGAAGAGGAGGAGGAGGAGGAGGAGGAGGAGGAGGAAGATAGGGTAAAACGGAAGGCGCTTAGGGGATGAGTCCCCGATCCTAGCCACGACCAGGGGCGGAACACTAGGAGGATGAGGACGATTACGAAGAGGACGAGGATGACGATGACGAAGAGGGGGGTGATGCTGATGCTGATGATGCTGATGCTGATGATGCTGCTGATGATGCTGCTGCTGATGATGATGGTGGTGATGATGATGAACATGACATTGGCGATGATGCTGATGATGCGGATGATGCTGCTGCGGATGGTGATGATGCTGCTGATGCTGATTCTGATGATGCTGCTAGTGAAGATGATGGTAATGCTGATGCTGATGATAACGATGCCAATGATGCTGATGTTGATGATACTGATGATGCTGATGTTGATGAGGATGCTGCTGCTGTTGCTGCTGCTGCTGCTGATGATGATGATGATGATGATGATGATGATGATGCTGACGATGCTGACGATGCTGATGCTGATGCTGATGCTGATGCTGATGCTGATGCTGATCCTTCTGCTGCTGTGGAGGAGGATGCGGAGGAGGAGGAGGAGGAGGAGGAGGAGGAGGAAGCGGACGACGACAAGGACGAGAGTTCTCGGAGCTTGCGAGGACGAGGGCTAGGATGAGGACGATAAGGACGAGGAGGACGAGGAGGACGAGGAGGACGAGGGTGATGAGGCGGAGGTGGGCGAGGAGGCTGAGGAGGCGGGGGAGGCGGAGGATGACGAGGACGAGGAGACTTCGCGGGATTTTGGATTCCAAGTGGGGGGCAAAGGGGGTAGCCAAGTAACCGTGGGTGACGCCTTTTAGGACCTTTAGGGGACTGTTTGTGGGTCTCTGGGGCCATTTGGGGCCTGTTGGAGGCCTCGTGGGAGGTTCTTGGGCGCCTGCTGGCGCTCTCAGGGGCCATCTGGCTCGGAATGGCAATTCGAATTCCTCCTTTTGGAGCCCTCTTGGGGGGCCCCCTTGGGCAGTCTTCGGTGCCTCTTTGGTCTTCGGCCGTTTTAGAAGACCTCTGGGGCCGTCTTGGCTTGTTGGGGGCTTCTTGGGCCGTTTTGGAATGACTTTGAGACCTTCTAGGCCGTCGTGGACGCTTTCACTGCCCCAAACCGCACATACATCCGTAAGGGCTTCGCCCCCTGCCGCCAGCCCCCTCTCTCGGAGAGTGGGGTACTCGAGAGCCGTGTTGTGAGGCCTGGGCGCCGTCGTGAAGCAGCGTCGGCACTCCGAACGGGGGCCACCAGATACCTGGATGCCTTGCAGAGCCCCAGGTGGGGCACGCGTTGACACACTGCCAATGCACGGTTCGATCTGATGGTTGCGTAAAACTCGCATGCGTGCACTGCGTTCTTCCTTTTGGGCCTCCCCCTGGACAACGATTGGAAAGTGCTTCGGATGTTGTTGGCAAAGGTTCAGCGCATTTACATTCGTTGATCTTCGTGATCGGTCTACTTTTGTGTGGTGTGTTATGTGTGATTTTTGGGATCTGGTGAGTTTCTTCGCTCCGCGGGCCTTCCGAAACGGACCCTTGGTGGAAACTTCGCGACGCTGCGATGATCCTCAGAACCGTCTTGGGGCGCTTTTGAGAGCCTCTTGGGCCGTCTTGGGGCGGTCTTGAGGGCCTCTTGAGCCGTCTTGGAGCGTCGGAAGCCCGAATAGGCGAGCGTGCCAAAATCTATCAAACACCTAAGGAACATCACAGATGTCGGCCTCTGGGGCCCCTCTTGGGGGTTCTCTTGGAGCGCTCTTAGGGGGCCTCTTGGGCCGTGTTGGGATTATGTTAGGCGCCTTGGCGCACTTTTCGGCCGTCTCGGAGGCCTTTTTGTGTCGTCTTGGAGACCTTTTATGGAGGACTGTGGCTTCGAAAGCGCGAGTATTGAGTGCTTTACGTGGTTTCTGATTCCGGGGACGCGAGGAACGGGTAATTTACGAGGGATTGTAGCTTCGGGGGCGCAGTTACGGTGTGATTTATGAGAGCGAGAGAGAGAGAGAGAGAGAGAGAGAACATTGCCTCGGAGACGCGAGCATTGAGTAATTTTCGAAGAATTATGCTCCCAGCAGCGCGAACACGGAGTAATTTGCGAGGGTTTCTGGCCTCCGGGAAGCGAGTTTTGTATAATGCACAAAGGATTATGGCCGCGGGGGCGCGAACATCGTGCAAATTACGCGGGATTCTGGTTTCCGGGGCGCGAATCTCATGTATTTCTAATGTGCCAGGGCCCCCCAGAAATTCTGATAACCTCCCCAGGAGCAGGTAACCAGGGCTCTTTTTGGCTCCTCTCTTCGCGCGGACTTTAACAGTTCACAGCAGGAACCAGAACACATAATTGTAACATGGGAGACTGGAAACTGGAACCAGCGGAGGGCAGCAAGCCTAATCCGCGGAGCCTGATGGCCCGCCCTCGCAAGGGGGCCGACGGACTACAGCTATATGTTTCCTTCAAATCAACAGATTTTTGCCTCTCAGGGCCCTCGCGGGGCTCCTCTTGCAGCCCTTCTGGGGCGTCTCGGAACGATTTTTGGCTATCTTGATGCCGTCTGTAATGTTTTTGACGCCCCCCCGCGTGGTGGAGCCCAGCTTGAGCAAGCCTCATTGGCATCCTGGGCACCTTGTAGGCCACGGAGCGTGAATTTGGAGGCTCTGGAGGCTCCGGGGCTGCGCCGGGGAGCTCTGCCCCTCTTGCCCCCCCCCCCCCCCCCCTCTAACAGGATTTTGGACGCCCCGGGAGGGGGAAATGGGGGAGGGGGAGAGCCAATCACCTCACACGCCTTTGCACCCCTGGCGGGCGGGGGTCGGCGGTTTGCGGTTTGTCTGCGATGCTGCAGCTCTCGGCAACGTGAGATCAGTGGGGAGGGGGCGGGCCCTCTCAGGAGGCGGCGGGGCCTCCCAGAAGCCCTCGCGCCTTTGAGCAGGCCCTCGCGCCTTCCCCGAGAACGCAGGCGCCATCCGAAAAGTCCTCCGAGCCTTCCCCGAAGACACAGTCGCGGCCGCTCGGGAGGCGCGAGGGCTTTCTGTCTGGGAGGCCCCGCCGCCTCCTCACAGAGGGCCCGCCCCCGCCTGCATTTCCTCCCTGGGGCTCGCTCTGCCGCAAGAGGGGGGCTGATGACCTCAGGCTCATAGTCGGGCTCGTCCCTCCACATGAGGAGTGCCCAAGAGTAGTGAAAACCTAGTCGGGGGACGATTCTTCGACTATTTTGATGATGCTTGAGCCTGTTTGGACTCTTCTTCGTCAGTGTTCTTCCAACATCCGCCTGCAGTAGGACATGCTCGGGGTATAATGGGGGGGCCATGGCGTCTCTCGGATTTCATGCCTTCCTTCAGCACGTCCTGGGGTCCTCCCCCCCGTCGCGCATGTGCCTCGGGCCATGACTTGCGCCCCCCCTCTTGGACCACCCCCCCTCGGGCTTGCCCCCTGCTCCGACGCCCCCGCGCAGAGGAGTGCCCCGCGGGGGAGGCGCGGCGCCGCCGCGCCGAGTCGTGCACCGACTGCCCCGCAGGCAAGGAGGATCGCTGGCCTCGAAGAACGCCGCGGCCACTGGTCGGGAGGGCCCGGAAGGGGGGCGTGAGACAGTAAGTCACGGAAGCCTCCGCTTGCTGTCGAATGGATACCAGCGAATAGTGTCCAAGAGCCTCCAATCGTGCCACGTCGCGCCCAATGGCGCCCAATGGCTCCGAATAGTGGTCAGATAGTGCCGAATAGTCCCCGAGTGGCGCCCAAAGGCACTCAATGGCGCCATGTGGGGGAGATGCATTACGTTCGGTTCGCGCGCTGGTGGACGCGATACGGGGCGCCATGCGACGACCAACCGTTTCCGTGATTTGCTTTCTCAGATGCGGGAAGAATCGGGACGAGGACCGGCAGCAGCTCCTGTCCACTCGGAGCAAGAACTGTTACGCACCCTGAGATCCTTCAGTTAAGCGATCTGGCCCTGGAGCGTCTCCATGGCGATTGGAGCGGCGAGGATTACGGAACCGATGGACTCCGGAGTCCTGGCATACCGAAATCCATCAGTTCAGCGATCCTCGCCTCCCCAGTCGCCATGGAGACGCTCAGGGGCCGGATCGCTGAGCTGAACGATCTCCGGATGCTCAACTGTTGTCGGTGTCGCCGCGGGCACGAGCGTCGCGCTCCCAGCAGCGGCATGCTGTCGATGCGGCAGCACCATGCGCTGTGCGGCATCGCCCGTTTTTTTTTCCCTCGCATTCTGGGCCTGCCAACCCGAGATTGATTGTTGATGCTCGCAGTTCAACGATGGTCTCAGGATTGGGACTCCCCGCGGCTCGGGATGTAGTCGATATATATTGTATCACTGGATCTCGCCCGTGTTCTCTGGCGATTTAGTACCAGGCTGTGTGACAGATTTTTGAGGCTGGCTTGAGGATGTGGGTGACTTTGACAATTGCATTGCGGGAGTTTACTTGATGCAACCTGTCGAACCAGGCGACACCAGGGTTTATGTGAACACTGATGTCGACGAGACTGGCCTCACGTTGACCATAGGCGATGGAATCTCAGTCATTACGCGGAACCCAGAACATTTCGAACGGTTTGTCATCGTGAACAAGGTTCGCTTCGACGACGCCAACTTGACAGGTCAACGGCGCGAGATTTTGTATTTTGATTTGGATCACGTTACGCACCTTCCGTTCAACAAATATGACATTGTGATCTCTGCTTGCACTGGTGTCAACGGAATCGATCTCTCTAATTCGTACCCGTGCGGATGTGGAAAGCAGGTGTGCGGTATGGGGTTCAGGTGCGACGAGTATTGCGCGTCCCAGAACGAGTCCTTCGAGGTGTACGATGCATATAAACAGCTCAAATATGGACATACTGGATGTTGCATGTCGAGGGACAAAAAAATGCATAAGCACAACTTGTTGGACCTCCGAAAATGGATTCCCCAAGTATTGCTTGCACTTATGGGGTTCTTGTTTGCCTCCCTAGGGGCTTGGTTGGGTCTGGCGAGGTTTCGCCACGGTGCCACCCGTTGCCGCTTCGCTGCCGCCTCGTGCGCTGGGTGGGCCTGGCGACGTCTCGTCACCTTGCCGCCCGTTGCGGCCTCGTTGCCGCCGCCAGCTTGCACCGCGTGTACTGCACCACTCCGCTTGAGCCACGCAGCCTGCACCGCATGGCTTTACACGTCAATACGGCCGGACTGAGGTATAAGATCGAGGTCGGTTGGGGGAGGGTACCCTGATGTTCTTCGTGCTCGTTGGCTGTCAGCGTGCATCCTGCGGGAGGGCGCCCGAGTGATCTTATGGTTTGGGGTGTTTGGGCCAGCGGAGGGTCTCATGTCTTCTGTCCTAGGTCTGGCTGTCAGTGCTGGCTGACATGTTTGTGTCATTGTTTTGTTCCTCGGCCATCGGTCCCAGCGTATCTACCCTGCCGACCCCAGCCCCAACGGTGCAGGCCATCGGCGACCCTCACCTCGTCAACCTGCAGGCCGTCGGGGCGCTGCCTCTCCTTCGCCGCCTCCCTCCCTCCCTCCTTCCCTCTCTCCCTCCCTCTCTCTCTCTCTCTCCTCCTCCTCCTCCTCCTCCTCCTCCTCCTCCTCCTTCTCCTCCTCGTCCTCCTGGCTCAAGCCGCTCTGGCTCAAGCCTACCGTGGGCAGGTGGCGCCTGCTTCCATCTTTTCAGCCTACCGTAGGCAGGTGGCGCCTGCTTTCGCGCTGACCAGCAGCGCCGCCCCAGGCCAGCAGCCCAGCCTGTGGCCTCCTTCGATCCAGTCAGAGATGGGCGGCCAGCGGCAGCCAAACCGTGGCCGAGGCGAAGGGCGCACGTACCTTTGCTGCCAGTCTGGCGGGTGCAAAGGATGGACATGGGCTCACAAGCCGTTCAAGTTCTGTGGCCAGTGTGGAGCAGCCTTCATCGGTCGTCGGCCTGCCCAGTCAACCTCGACCAACGCCAGTCAGAACGTGAATCCCGACGGTATCCCCAATCGGTGGCGGAGGCGCACAGTCAGCCCAGCGCCGAAAGGCCACCCCAAAGGAGCTGCGGGAGTGCGTGCACCAGAGGAATCCGAACGTGACCCAGTCGCTGTGTGCTCGGCGACGGTCCAGTTTTGGAAGAAGATGGAAGGCACCTCTGGGCAGCACTACCTGCAGGCCGTGAATGAGCTGAAAGCAGTGAAAGCATCAACGTTGGCAGCCTAGCCTTGGGATCAGCAGAGGAAGTCCCTGCATCCCCAAGCTCGAGGCCACCAAGAAGAAGCTGTCCAGCGCCCAGCAATAATATGACAATACGTGTGAGGCCATTGTGGCACTGGCCAACGACTATGAGAAGCATATCAAGATCGTTGCTGACCTCACGTCCGAGGTGCAGCAGCTCGAGACCCAGCACAAGATGGCGGTCCAGCAGGCCCTCAAGGAGCAGGCGTGCGAGGCCCCCAGTCTGGAGTCAGTCATTTCCAGCCAGTTCCCGCCAGGGCTCGCGCCGTCTGCCGAGGTGCAGACGGCCGTCGCGCAGCTCGCGGCCAAGCTGCACGTGGAGTGGCAAGCGGCGCAGGCGGCGCAGCAGGCCCAGGCCGCGGAGACCCAGCCCCACGCGGCCCAGGCGGTCCCAGGCGGCGCGCCGACCCAGGCGCCCGCCGACGTCCCAGCCCTTCCGCTGGTGGACGGCGGACCGCCCACGCCAGCCCGCCCTGGCGCTGCTGATGGCGCTGCAGACGGTGCTGACATCAGCCCCGAGGAGGCCGCAGCCTACGACGAGGAGGAGAAGGCCATGGAGGTCGAGGAACCCAACGCCGAGCAGAAGCGCCTCGCGGGCATCAAGCGTGCTGGCGAGGCCGTCGGCCAGGTGCTGAACCTGCAAGGCCAGAAACTCTCGCAGTCTTCGCAGCAGCAGGAGAACACTGAGGCGCTCCAGAAGAGCGCCAAGGCCCTGTGCGTCGCCGCAGCCAAGGGCAAGGGCGGCAAGGGCGATCCCGCGGACAAAGCGTCTTGCGGGTAACACGGTCAGGTTCGCCACAATCAACGGCAGCTGCTGGGGAGCCATCAGGAAGGTTCTCCAATCTTCAGCAGCTGAGGCAGTGTATGTCATCTGCTGCCAAGAGGTCAGAGTTTTAAAAGGTGCGCTCCCATTCATTGTTCAGTGGCGCGAGCGCGCGGGGTGGCAAGCGATGCTCTCACCAGCCGTGCTCAGTGACCAAGGGTACCCTGTCCAAGGCGCAGGGCTTTTGATTCGCGACGGGCGCGACTTCGGAGCATCCAGAGCGCAACTTCCTGCAGGCGTCGCAGAATCACGTTGCGCAGCCGTTTCACTCGAACTTCCAGGACACCGTCCTTCCGTGCTAGTCTCGATCTACCTGGCCGACGGGGTGGCCCTCAACTTATTCAACTTAGAGTTTCTAGCAGGGGTTGCAATGATTCAGGGTGCTGCACGGCAGCCACTCATCATTGCTGGGAATTTCAACGTCTCGACCAAAAAGATCATGGAGTCGAACTACCCGTTGAGAGCGGGCCTCAAGATTCTGGCCCCAGCTACCCCTACGTGTAAGATGAAGAAACCGGCTAGCACCATCGATTTCGTCTTGGCCTCGTCGTGTTTCGACCGGGACCTCTTGGGCGCCGCCGTCCTGGGCGACTACCCGCTGAGCCCCCACAGGCCCGTTATCCTTCAGCTCGGGTGTGGAAAGCCTTTCGTGGTGCCCGTCTTGGAGAAGCCCCGACCGTTCTCTACTACCAGGCCTTATGGGCCCACAATCTTTGTGCCGTCTTGGGACAAAACCGAAGCAGCTCCGGACTTCCTGGGCCAGGTCATCGCCCGGGAGACCGACATGGGGGCCCGTTTGCTGACCCTGAACTCCACGTGCTAGCATTTCGCCAGTGACATGGCGAAGTCGATCAGCATCCGCACGGATGCGCCGATCAAGTCGCCCACCATGCCGCGAGTAGGACTACCCGAGATCCGTTGGGTGCCAGGGGCCGCTCGGGAGGTGGCACCCAGGGCTAGTTGGAGGAGTTTGTCGATCCCGATCAGATGGTTGAACAACAAAGTGATGGATGTCATCCGCAAGGTTCATTCCAGGGGCGAGTTTTACCTTTCGGAGATTTAGGTCAGCATCCAGTCACCACCTCCAGAGCTTGAAGGCGCTGAGGAGTTTGCCCGTCTGCTTGCCAGGTGTTAGGACTGCTCTAGGCGCCGCTGCCCCAGATTCGGAAAACGGGGTGCTGGGCCCCAAGCTTGTCGTGAAGGTTTTCGAAGAGCTCGATGAACCAGTCGATCGAGCGCTGCAAGCTGAGGAGGCCAGGGGCCGTCAAAGTGAAACCATTGCCTGGCACAACTGGGCCCAGGCGGCCATGTCCAAAGAGGTCGGGTGGGCGCGCCGCTGGACCTCAAAGCTCACCAGTTGGCAACCTCAGAAAGTATGGCGCCCAGATCTGCAGACCTTTTCAGGACGGCCGTTTGAGTTGCTCCAGTCGGAGGCCTCCCGCTTGGCAGGATTTTGGGAGGTCGCGCCGCAGGGGCAGAATTTTAACTTGCCGTCGACCGAGCGTGGCCGCTTGGAGCCCATTACGCCTGGCCAGATCCGATCGGCAGCCGAAAGATTTCCGAAATCAGCCAGTCAGACTTGGGACGGATTTCACCCTCGTCATTTTGCCTTACTGAGTTACCGTGGGTTGGTTTGTAAGCTTTTGGCTGCCATTGAAGAGATAGGAGTATTTCCAACCGCTATTCGCAGCATTATCACTACCCTGATCGAGAATCACAAAGCCGACCATTCTGGGGGCCCATCCTACCGAGGCATCGGTCTCCTTCCCGCTCTATGGGGGGTCTGGTCCAAGATCCGCCAGGTGGAAGCCCGTCGTTGGGAATGGGCCAACAAGAGGCCCTATCTTGCCCATCAGTCTGGTCGAGGCGTGCTAGAAACTGTTTATGCCCAGGCCCTCAAGGCCGAGCTAGCTGGCTACCAGGCTGTTCACACTGGTGGTGTTCTTTGGGATCTATCTAACTATGATGAGAATGTGAACCGCGACAAGTGGAAGTCTCGGGCTATACTTTTATTTCGGATTCGTTAGTACGTGTTATGATGAACCAATACGGGGGCCCGGGGGTAGTTGCAACGATGACCTTGGCTACTTATGCTGGTTGTGTCACTATAGGTTTCCCCGCGGAATGCTCGTTCGCTACCTACGACGTGCAAATGTACACGGTGTCCCCCATTGACTGCTGGGCCCCGAAGTTCCCCACTGTGGACCCCTCCATCTTCATAGATGACTTCATGTTGGGCAGCAGCAACACTAGTATTAGGCTCCTGGTGTCGGACTTGGCGCAGGCCGCCGACAGCATGCTAGATGTAATCGAGGAGGGCCTCGATTGCTCGGTCGCGCTGCACAAGGCGGCGGTGTTGGGCTCGTCAGCA